TTTAACAGATGTTCTAGCAAAAAGCTCTACTCTCCGCACTGTGCGAGTGTCCAGTTAAACCGGACATCGATAAGACACTGAAAATCGTATCGGGCTTCTGGGAGCCACAATTGTTCCCAGCTCAGGAAGCCGTTAAACACAGCCTGATTATGCAAAAAACCCTATTGCTCAGATATCCCAATTAGATCCACAGAACAAATGCTGGACAATACGTACACTGCTTTCCGGAGTCTTTGTGTACCCAAATGTTATTTGTTCTATTCAGCCCATTCTATTTCGCCACTGTCTTAAGTAAAGAAACGAAGCTTAAAACCTTGGAAGCTTTCTCCACACAGAAATCTCCAAATCGAATGGGCAAACAGCCCCCCCCTCGCCACACTCCTGCCCACCCCTGCAGTTTCATGTTTAGAACGCCCCGTGCGTGCTATTCTTTCACATCTTTAATATTTAACACATATCCATCCCGAGCACAGGATTAACAGGAAGAAGTGACTCTTGTTTGCAAAGGTATTTATTGACATAACTCCACTGGAATGCATGGCATTTCATGGGCAGGGAGGGAAACAGAATAAAAAGGTGGCCCTATACATAGTAATTCAGCAAATCTATGTGAACAAAGCAGCAAGGTGCACCAAACATTAATAAATGAAAGAATCCTTGTACTTTAAGTGTCTTTGCAAAGACAGACAATTTTTAGGCTTTAGAAAAAAAGAAAATCAGCAGAAGTGGGCAACAACTGATCAGTTATGATGTCTATACATGCTACATTCAATATGATGTCTATACATGCTATATACAGTCTTTTAAGATTGCACACACACACACGCTTATGCTCACCTCCTACAGGAAAGAATTTTTCAGCAATAATTTCTGCCAACTCCTGAAGCTTACAAGACAGAGACTACCAAAGCATAAGAGGTGGGAAAGCTAGGTCACCACCTTGGGTTTGGGACTCCTATCACACAACCCAGCTGCCTCAGTGTGCACAGTGGCACCAAACTATAGTTGCTGGTGTGTGACACTTCACAGTGGAAATTTTAAGAGGAGGTGGAAAATACTGAGAAAAAAAAACGCACAGCATTACATTCAGAAAGGGATGGCAGGCAAAAAAAAGATAATACATACCAAGATTGAATGTATTTCAGAAACAACATCAATGCTCACTTTAAACAAAAAAATCAGGACTTTGAAACTCTTTCAGAATTTGCTAATAATTGCAGGTCATAAAGAGAACCCTTCAGCTCACAACTGCAATAGATTCGATAGCAGATTAGGTTGAAAAGGTGAAGAGCAAAAAAATTTGAGCTGCATTTCTGTCCCACTTCTACCATTCGCACCGTCACAAAAGGTGTGCTTCAGATCATCTTGTACAACCAGTTAAATCTCTTTTATCTGTGCAAATATTTGTTTTGTATTAATGCAGCTGCAACTTTTAAAGACTTCTGTTATCTTTACTGCTTATCTTTCAATGCCAAAGCTCTGGCTGTCCCAGACCTTGGTCCAGTGGGGCTGCAAAATGCAGGGGTGGGAGGGAAGGGGGATGAAAGGGGACAAGAGACCAGATACAATCTAAAAACAAACAAACAGAGAAGAATCTACAGCCATGAAAGTCAGGAGAAGTTCAGTTCAATGTTAATTCCTATTTGTCCGAAATGTGTACAGACGTGCATTTGTAGAAAATGGAGTTGATGAAAAGGCTGTCATTACAGCAGTAAATGCACAGGAAGCAGTGTATTGAAATGCTGTACCTATTTTGATCCAGTTTTATTTTCAGACATACAAAGGTATGTGCACTTAATTGTATATAAACTGAGAAAAACGTAAGCATGGAAACATGCATGCACACTGATCATCTAGTATATGATCACAGCTTTTTCACCAAAAACTAAGAAAAAAATTAAAGTTTACATAGGAGGCTACAATGAGACACGCTACCAAGATCCACTTTTACTTCTGTTCAGGTTATTATAGTGCTTCCCTCTTCCCTGCTTCTAACCAAACATCCCTAGCTTTTTCCACCTGCTGGCACTATTTATATAGGTAATTCAGATATTACTAAAGCTAATAAATAAATAAATAAATGCCCCCTAACCCAAACCAAAATAAACGGTCCTCCCACACATCCAAGAACAACAAAAATCCAGTTTGGCCCAAAATCTTTTTTCAGCCAGATCACTTTCCTAAACTGACTTACTGGGAAGCTCCAGAAGCCCCAGCATCAGAGCAGAGAGGGATGAGGAGGATGAAGCCCACACTGCGGCAGCTCTGACCGAGCCTGGCTGAAGCAGCTGTGGGGCTGCACTCACCGGGCAAAAGAACTCTGAACACAGAGCAGGGCTGCTGCTATTTTTTTTTTTTTTCCTGCTGCTGAATTTACTTTAGCCCCTCTCCAAAACAGAGGGCTGGGAGAGCCAGAAAGCACTGGTAGAGTCTGTAAGGAAATTTGTGCCTGCACATCTCTATTACTTCAATGCAAACAAATGAGATCTTAGATCATTTCAGATACAAAAAGCCCTACTGTCCCAGTTTGCACCCCAGATCTTTCTTTATCAAAGAATGTGTTTTAGTAGCAAATTGTTCACTGCTTTTTCTTTTTTTTCCCCCAATGAAATATCTTTTCTCTTTCAATAAGGACGTAACCAAAAGCTATTTTCTCTAACACTGTGTCCTCAGAAAGTATCTTCTTCCCCATCCTCCACCCCCTTTCATTTTTCATTTTTGCTTTTTTTTTTTTTTTTTTTTTCTTTTCCAATGGCCTTTCTTGTTATGAGAAAAATACATTCCTGGAATGTTTCAGCTCAGGGCTCTCAAAAACAATTACTTAGGCATTTGATTTGATCTGCTGGTTCTTCCTTTCTGGGTATTTGGGCTTTATGAATCTCCGGTTTGGTCAAAGGTTAAAGTGAACCTTTTCCAAGTCACACCCTGGAGCCCCACAAGGCCCATAAATATCTACCCCAGGTTTTAAGGAAAAGGAGCAAATTCAGTATTAGATGCACACAACAGCAGTAACTGGCTGTGTTAGCTAAGGAAGAGAATTCAGAGAGGGAAAGTTGCCGATTCACGCTTACATTGGGCAAGTAGGATGGAGGGGTGGAATGATGAGGCAGGAACTAAAAAATAGGTCACCTTCAAATTGCTGAAAATCTGGCAGCGTTTAAGGGAAAAGAAGAAGGGGAACAGAAGTTCAAGTATATCATTTTAGTAGCAAGGTATCTTCAAGAATATCAAAGCACTTCATAAGCACAAGGAAACAGACTTATGACCTCAAAAGCACCTGATTTTTCGACCTGTGAGAAATTACCACATCTGTGATCTACACACATAAAAAACCAAATCCCAAACCACCACAAACCACCCATGAAGCATATGGTGGGACAAAACATATGTTTTCTGACTTGTTCTGGCTGCTAACTGGGCTTCTCAGGGGAGTGAAAGTTAGAAAGGATAATCTGTCAGAGTTATCTGACTCCGAGGGGTGAGCTATAGGGGAGATTTCCAGCTGGTTGTCTCCATCGGGCCCTTCTGACCCATGACCAACTGAAGGTGGTTTGCTAGTATGCTCCTATTGCTATGGCCCTGTCTTTGATATAGCAAAATCCAGCTCAATTTAATGTTTAGTGCATTGTGTGCTGTATTTGGCAAGTCCCTGAAATCAAACTCCTCTTCCTCAATGAACTCATTGCATGTTTGTGCAATTTAGACAAGTTCCTACTCAAAGACACGGAGACAAATCATTCCTACTGCTACAATACCTTTTCACTAACTGCAATGCAGTTACTGTTAGATTTGTGTTACTTTTTTAATGTTGTGGAATATTTGTCCAGTAATACACTTTGAATAACAGATTTTTTTCTAATCTCATTCTAACTATTAAAAAAAACCTCTTTAAAACTTTATCACATGCCTTTGCAACTGTTACTCAAGGTTTGTCAGCTCTGCTCTCTATTAAAAGAAAAATCAAACAGATTGAAGTAACTGATTATAGTTCATTTGAAAGTACAACGTTGCCAAAAAAGATAGATATTTTAAAGTTCTGATTATAGCTCATTTCAAAGTACAATGTTTCCCAAAAAGTGTATACTTTACAGTTTTGAAAATATACAGAAGTACACATTTAAAAACAAAGTTTTAAAGGGCATATTCAGAAACCATTCTAAAGGAGCGTTGGTGCTTAAGGTTTATGTGTAAACTAAAGCATACACATAAAGGTACACATACAACTAAAGTGATTCTTTCATCCTTATTACGTGGCAACGCTTAATTTTTTAAGGAGCAACTGTGAGATTTTGCCATCCTTCTACCAACCGGTGTTCTTAACTGTAAGCAACCCCATCCCCTCACCACAAAGCAAAGCGGTTGTTTGGGAGGATGGTGGTGTTCATTTCTTCTTTTCTAGTGAGAAGGGTTATTTTCTGGTTTTAGTCATCTCTTGGATTCTAACACACCTACTACTCACAATTACACTCAGGTAAAAATTGAAGTCCCTCCTGTTATGGAGACAGAGAAAAAGGACATGCAACAGTCCCTTCATGTTGTCCCATTAAATATGCTGTTGAGTAAAACTGATATGCACACAGAAGTGCAACCACATCCCTCCAGCCACCTGCTTGGACAAAGAATCAGTTGTAATTTATATGATAAAATAATCCTCAAAATTTATGACAGCTGTGTCACATCTCTGTGTTACTAGATCCCAAATTATCTGCATTTAATGATAACAAATTTTGTTACAAAGGAGCTGATTTGCAAGGAGATAAGGCCCACAAGGCCTTAAAGACCAACCCTTCTCCACTGCCCACACCAGTTGTTTGCATTTTTTATCCAAGCTTTTTAACATCACAAAATTGATTACCGGTTTCTCCATTTAAGAGAGATAAAATTGTATTTAAACTAAATATTTTACACGCAGAAGAAAAAAAGCCTTAGGAATTTAAATATTTCACCTCCAGAAAGCAGCTTGTCCTCTAGCCAAATAGACTTGCATGAGTTGGCCTTACCTGGAGCCATAACTTGTTATTCACTGCATCTCTCCCCGTAGCAATGCATTGAAATGTAGCATTCTGCCCTGCATTGACCTCTACATCCCCCAGCCTCAAGAAATGTGGAGATTTATCTGCAGAGGAGGAAAACAAAAATTACAAATAACACTTATTTCTAAAAAAGGTGCCAGCAACGTTATTGTCTCCCTGAAGATGCACATTGTAACAACCTTTGGCTAAAAAACAGAAACAGAAGAGAGAAAATTATTTGTTTCATCTCTGTTCGAGTCGAAAGAGTGCTTTCTGTCCTTTCTCTTCTCCCCTGGTGATTCTACTAACTTTATGTTATACATGAGTTATAATAAAGTCTTTTAAAAATCAAAGCTAGAAGAAGGAGATAAAATGCCAAAATGTCAGCAGCACTTTACAAAAATGATCCCAAAGACTTTCGATTGTATGAAACTCATCATACTGAGAAAAACCCAATTAGCGGGATACTGCTCAGGCAAATAGTGAGATGCTATTCAGATTATTTGCAATGTAACTCCGAGCTCTGTTGTTTTACTAAATGAAATCGTTTGTGCCATTGAATACAGTATTTCAGGAGCTGAAAAATCTATTTCCCATGCTGACAAAGCCCCTAGGAAAGCTCAGTGGCAAAACCACCTGAAGGATTTATTATACGCAAGAAAGCCGACAGACACATTTGAGGAATGGTTTGTTACACAGCTCTCACCCATCCCTTTCTCAAGAACTACTAATGAAAACAGTAGCTGAACTGTTATTTCTTTGTGCTTACAAAAAAAAAAAAAAAAAACCAAAAAACAAAACCCAACAAAAAAACCCAAAACACGCAGGAAAAAAACAGCAAATTGGAACAAACAGGGTTTAAACATCAGTAACAAAAAGAGAGCTTATCTGAATACTGTATCATGCTGATAATCTGCCATCATGGCTGTAACCAAGTGCCTTTTGTTTTGGCACTTAAAAAAGAACACAAAGGGGAAAAAAAGCCAGAAGAAAAAAAAAATGAAAGCCATATACTGAATCCGAGCAGGGCTTTGCTGAGTACAGATGTCAGATAGCTGGGCTGGCTGAAATATAAAGAGGTAACTCACTCAAATACCCTGGAAGCTTGGTAGCCCCCGAGAGCTATGGTCTTAACAGGTTTGGAGTATAAGAAAACAAAATGTGAGGTTGCCATTGCAACCTTATTATTTGGCATCGTTTCGCAAATTTGGGGGAGGGGGTTGTTATATCTTAATCATTTCAGAAAGCAATTAAATTATCAGTCATGAGGTACATTAAGTGAAATCACATTTTAGAAAGAGGACGTCTAGGGGAAGATCAGAAGAGTTGAGCAGAACCAAATGAGCAAAACAATGTGGTAACAAGTGACAGAAATGCACAGCAATAATTTCTTCCTCACAACTTTTTATTTGTAGAACATTTTCATTATCACAACTTGTGTTTGCAGGGAAACACAAACAAATGCCTGAAGTCTGTCCACAAAAACAAAACAACAAATCTAAATCCTTCAGTAGTTCAATAGCCAGAAGCCTTTTTTTTAACCTGCTGTGTCCATTTGAGGAAAAAAAAAAAAAACAAAACAAACAAACAAAAAAAAAACCAAAAAAAAAAACCCACCAACAAGGGCATGAAATCTGATAAACCTCCTACAAGCATCTGCCAATTCGGTTTCTTTTAATCAGTGAGTATACACATTAGCATTGAAATCCACTTTGATTATGCACACCAACTATGGTATGGCTAAAAAGAAACCGAAGAATTTCCGCTTTTGTATTCCTGTATACTTTACCGCTGGCAGACAAAGATTTTACCCAGGTAAATCACTGTTGCAACACTACATTTTCCCCTGGAAGCTGCAACAAAAATACTACTGAAAGAATGAAGAACATCAGTGACCAAGTGATGAAAACTCAGCAGTCTACAGCAATATCAAATATGTCCTGAAAAGACAGAGAAAAATGCAGCTCTTAATCATTACTTACCACAAGGGTAACTCAGAACCTGGATGTCATCAATGGCAATGTAGCCATTTCTCCCATCTGAGACTTCAGCTTCAAATATTACCTGTCAAAATGAAAGAAAAAAATGTTTACAACACTCATTTCTACAGAATTCCCACAGTGGCAAGCGTGTAGATATAAGACACATTGCCTTTTTCATTTAGTTGAAGTTCCTACAAGGTTTGACGACTGAACAGAATATTTATTACTCAATGTATTGCAGTTCCCTACCATTCGTATACATTACTTGCCTTGGATTTGCTGCTTATGGCGCACCAGAAAAGCAGGTTTATTACATCAATTAACGGCATACTGCCTTCACTCCACTAAATGTATAAACATGATTCAATTCTGAAAAGATGCCATTACTTTCAGACAGGTTCGACATCACAGCACAGAACTGATCAACCAATTTTAACGAAATTTATATTCTTGTTGGGGGTCACAGTATAGTCCACAGTCTCCTATAACCTTCTGCAGTTTAATTGCATGGGAAAACGCGCGGCAGCACAGAAATAGCGCAGCACTCCCCAGTGGCAATGAAAAGAACAGCTGTAATACGAGATTTATGTAATGGTTGTTAACTTCATTCTTCATTCTTGCAAGGCAATGGGGAAATTGCTGTGCATGGAGGAAAGAGACTGTCTCCACATCCAACTTTTTGTCCCACCCCAAACGGGCAGTAACACCAACGAATCGCCCTTGGACTGCTCCAGAGCACAGAGCTGTCTTTTGCTACAGATGTACTAAAACAACACCAACTGACCAGAACAAATTTATTGTCAAGATTCGCACTTCCTTGTATGGTGAAAAAAAAAAAAAAAAGTAGAATACGGTGAAAGTAAAAGGAAAATAATTAGAAGGAAAAAAATACAGGATGAAGCATATATGCAGTCTAAACTAAAAGGATGATATGAAAGAGGAAAGCACATCAGTGAAGATTAAGTAATACGATATGAAATTGCAGTTGTGATTGCCGAAAATGAGTATTTTTGGGGTCTTCTGTGCAAGACAGGCTTAGAGCAAGTCAACTGCTCTATACATAACCTTTTCAAGCAGTTCACGTCTCTTACTCTTGGGGACAATGTAAGGGAGCAGCAAAAGCAACACATTAACAACCTAACGCACCCTGCAGGTGAGGGGGAGAATACTGTCCCCATCAAGCACCTTTCTCAGGTCTTCTTACTGGGGGATCCACATGGCACCTTGCTAGGAAGGAACAACCACGGCACTCTTCAGTCTCAAGGGAGCCCTCGGAGCCAGCAGCTCCCATCTACCTCTGGAGCTCCTTCTGGACCACTCATTCACAAGAACTACCCTCTTTGGCAAGATACCTGGCATTTCTGCAGCCTGGCTCTGAACACTGCATCAGGAACACTTCTGTGTGCTTATGCTCCGCTCACTACCTTTCCTCACCTTGACATCCCACCCAGACATGAAGTGCAATTTACCTTCCCACCGAAGGAGGCAGGGACACCAGGCAGCCTGTTTATACTCAGAACTAATTCCACAGCCTTAACGGTGGAAAAATAAGGAAAACTTCCAAGGAAAGGTGGATATGGGCATGTTCATGATGTGGTTCACAGGGTCCCCCAACTTGTGCTTTGACTGCAGAAGGAGGAAGCCTGTGGGCCATGTATACTTTGACAGCACTGGGCTACAATCCCTCTTCCAACTTCTCCAGAAGCTCTCGCTGAGCTTCTGGCTGTGCTTCTCTCCACTTTCTTTTTTCTCCCTTTTAATTTTATTTGCACCCCAATGCAATTAAGGTGCAGAAACCACTTCTTTCTCTGCCTCCTCCTCCTGCCTTGGCCAACAACAGCTTGATGGAAAGGAACTTGGTGTCTCGGGGTCCTTCTTTCATTCCCTTGTCCAATGACCTCTCTGACCAGAGCACTATTTGACAGCGGCCACCAGCTCCTCAGGCATCTTTAGAGAGCTGGCACTTGTTCCCATTAAGGAACATCAATATGAGTATCTTCAATTCTTTAATAACTTGGACTAATCAGCTTTTTTTAAATTTTTTTTTAAAATCTTTGTATGGTTGGAGGAAGAGAAACAACTCAGTAAGGAATAAATATCATATTTAAAGCCTTTCTGACAGACCAATTTCTTTACAACGCAACACAGTTCTATCACATACACAAACTCTGAAAGCACCTTGTTTCTCAAAGTCCAGTTAAGAAATTTGAGCATCGCTGTTGAGAACCGGACTAAATTTACACCTTGCTCTGAACTGGGTTGTTATTAATTCAGTTGGAAGTAACTTAGGTCCAGTTCCCAGGGAAGCTTGGCCTCATGTACGTGCGTCCTTTCCCTGTACCTTCCTCACTGGGGGCAGAGGGGACAAAAATACCTTTCTCAGGACAGAGCTGGGAATAAATTTACTTGGTTTTTCCTACCTCTTCCAGACTAATTTAATTAATCCTGACCCTCCAAGAGTAGGAAGTTATCAAAAAAAAGAGAAGTTCACAGGAAAGAGTAAGATTAAGACACGGAGATCCATGAGAAGAAAAAAACCCAACACAACAAAACAAAAAATATATGAAGAAATACAGAAATGCAAGAAGCCTACAAAATGTTACTGGGAGCAATGTTTATGAGCTAAGTACATGAAAAATAAAATTATTAAAAAGACAGATAATAGAGAGCTGAGGTTTCATATATACAGTGCTAAACTAGTTTTTATTTACATTCATAATTGGTATAAATACAGCTATGAACCATTCATAACTATAGACACTATATAGCAAAAGGTGCACCTCAGTTAAAAAATTCTTATCAGGCTTTAATTTGATAACATCTGTTCACATTTAAAATAGGAAATGGAAAAAGGGAATTGCATATATAGATTCAAACAGCAATTTTAAATGCTGACAAGTCAGACCAGAACCTGAGGTAGTTCTTTTCCTCGCATACGCATGCAGTGCTTGAGAAAAACCAGACTGTTGAGCTATTCCTTTCACCAGAGAAGGTTTATCCTAATCAGACACCAGTGCTTTGGGGTTGAATCCTGCGCTTAGTCTGCACTGCTGTTCAGTTCACAGTCCTAGAAACAATGGCTTAAACACTTTCATTTTAGCTGAAAAATAATTCAGGTTATCACTCTAGCCAGAAAACATTAGTTGCCTCTGCAACTATAAATGTCCTTCCACTTATTACAATTTAATTGCATGCTCATCTAGCGCACTTCTGAGAGATGCTCGCTTCCTTTAATGGAGAGGAGAGACTGTTTTCGGGGATGAATAGGGCTGGCGCAGAGCAGGGCTGTGGAGACAGCTATCCCGTCTCGTTTGTACCAGCGTCACCGCAATGAACGAGAATGGGAAATGCTGAACAGCTCAGGTAATTCAAATGCTACTCAAGGGAATTAGATTTGATCCCTGAATTTTCTACACAGTTCCAAGGTGATACTCAAATAGTTAGTTACTTCTCCAAATAAAACGGCATATCCTTGTTTATGAAGTGCCTGCATTCAGACGCAAATGAAGACACAGCGTCAGAACTCCCTGAACTGGACATGCTCCTATGTATTTAAGGCATCCCTAATATATCTCTTATCCAGATTTTGGTCCATTTTCCCCCTAAAACCATGCAAACTTTTAGTGAACACAGTATCACTTGCAAAAATCCATGGGTTTACTACTGACACCATTAAGAGCCATTTCCAGTTGTGTTTTGTACCCGGCTTCCTTTAATGACCCAAATCAGTGACAAATTGATCCCAACAATTCTGCTATATTATTCACAAATTTATAGGCCTCGATTGTATGTCCCCAAGAAATTCTGTCTCAAACTGGAAGAGTACCAGATTATTCAGTCAGTCTTTTACAAAAACCATTCCCTCTTCTTTGATTATCCTTCTCATCCTTCTCTGAAGCTCTTTCTAAGTGCACTATATTCTTTGAAGATAATGAGAGCAGAGCTGGCACACAGTAATCAAGATGTGGGTGAGTCATAATTTATACAACAGCACAATATCATTATCTAATTTATACTGAACTTCCTTAACCATTCTTAACACTTCATTTGCCTTTTTTCACCATCACTGGGCTCTAAGCTCACATTTTTATGAACCCCACAGTCTTGCTAAAGAGTGCCAATGGCAAGCTCTGAGTCCACCGTGCTGTGTGTGAAATTAGGATTTTATGTAGTGTGCATTATTTTATATCTCTGTATCTACACTAAAACGTACCTGCCATTTTACTGCCCAGTCACTTACAGCTGGTGATACCGTGACGGTCCTTCTACAAGTCCTCACAATCACATATTGTCCTTGCTATTTATTCCATAGCAGCTTTCACCTACAAACTTTTGTCTTTGCACCATTCTCTGGCCCCCACTCTGGTCCCTTATGAACATGTTGAAAGGCACAAGTCTCTATAGGATGCCTTGGTGACTACTTCTGGGCATACTTACAATTTATTCCTGCCTTCTCTTTTTCCTCTTAAATAATTATCTATCTATGCAAGTACCTTTCTTCTCATAGTATGGCAGCTTAGTTTCACCACAAGCTTTTTCAGATGGACATGGTCAAAAGCCTTTTGAAAACCTAACTAGCCTGTATCAATCATATCACCCTTATCTATATGCTTGCTGACCCCTGTAAAGGGCTCCAAGGTTACAAATTAAGTGTATGGCATGCAACATACAGGACAAAAGAGAAAAAAAAAAACATTCAAATTGGTTTGTGTCAGGCACTGCAAAATAACACATACTTTGTTTTCACATCCCAGCTCTAAAACGCAGATGACGACAATCACTCTTTACCTAATATGATTCTAGAAATAAATGTTTGTGAACAACTTAAATACTCAACGGTATTTGAATTCAATGGAAAAAGTAGTAATTACTACAGCAGAGACCCCTAAAGGGATTTAGTTGCTGAAGTGTAATGCTTAAGAAATACTCAAACCTTCCTGTTCCTACACAACCCTAATATTGTATTCTGTTATCACCATGAAGACTAAGCCCACGCTTGCAGAAATACCCAAAATATATCTCTTAAAGGCTGGCCAGGATCCAAAAATTTAGGTATCCTCATTAGTAGCTCATTTGACGCAC